ATTTTGATTTTGCTGTATACATTACGTAGGTGGTAATCGTAAGAAAAAGGGTTCTGTGACCACGAGCTGTGGAGTTGATGAACAACATCAGGACCCTGGTAGTATGATTCGGCATTTTTCCATTTGTTGTTGTGACGATATATTGTGCTCTGTTCGATTTTTACCGTTTATGCCATCATGTTGCAGTCAATGAACAAAGTGGTACAGGTGCAGATGGTCAGATGCCCGAGATGTCCGTTACACGTACAGGTAGTTGTTTTCTCGAGAGATATATGTTGTTGTTGTTGTCAATCTTGTGGGTTATTGTTTTTTACCTCGACGTAGTTGGTTTATTAGCATGTGTTGCCGTTTCTAATCATTGATTATGCGGTTAGGCGACAAACGTCGTACCAATAGCAGTTCAAGACATTCGAGCGACACGGCCCAAACTAATGATAACGTGCATGAAGGTGAATACTTATGATTACTATTTAACCACAATGTGACTGACAGTGGGTGTATGTAGTGTAGGACTGTGTATATGCTTAGTTGTGTGTCAGATGTGAAGTTGCGTGTATGTATAACAATGTCGCGATTTTATACAACTGTGTTATATGTTTTTTGTAGGGGGTACTTGTAAACCGAAAGAGTCTACAGTTTTGACGCGTGACGGACAAACTAAGAAGGATGGTAAGTATATATGGTATTTGTTCTGAAAAAAAATTTAGCTTATGACCATATTTGTGCATTTGTTGTAATTGATTCATGCGCTTGTGGTCTTCACTGCTATTACTGTCGTGGCAAAGATTTGAATGCTCTGAGGAAAAATCTTAAAATTCTGGTTTGTTGAAATTATTATTTAGTATGCTGATATCAGAATCTCATTGTTCAGCAATGTACCACATCCAATTATAGATTTCACTAAAAAATTTATAACATTGAGTGATTGTTGTACACTTGTCAGAGTCAAAACCAGTGACATTTCAACTCTTTACTTCCCGAATCACAAAAGTATGCATTTGTGTAGTTTGTATGCTCACATAACCTGTGCAGTCTTTATCCTATATAATAAGAGTTGTTCTTAGTTGTACACTGGTTGAAGAGATGTATATGTGGTGCGTACTATAAAATACCTGATTTGCATTGCTATTAATTTTGTTTTACCTGCCATATTTCTTACTTGTTGTTGCATATATGACTGCATTGAATGGCGTATTATTAAACTGAGAGATGATGTTAATTAGTGGCTCTAGTTAAGAGAAAGGCGGATCATTTGGTACGTGATGTGACACGCGTGAAGCGCACGAATTTGACTGTGTCAACATCTAACCAACCCGATAGCAGTGACGACTTTGTGAATGAATGCCCTCGTACGCGTCATGTCAAGACCGACATAAAGCATAAAGGTATGTTTATGTACTTGTCGGACTAAATACACAGTTACTTACATCTTTATTTATTTATTTATTTCGTATGGCTTCATACTTGTAACAGGTGATGGTAAAGAGCCGGTTAATCATGGGCATACTGTTGTTCACGAACCAGATAACGAGCTGGTCGTATATGAATCTGGTAGCGACGATGACGTCGTCTTCCCTGTTATGAATACAAGATCGTCAACAACCACGTTCGTGAAGGCCGTTACTGGATTGTCCGATGCAAAGAGACATGCAGTTCGCGATATGGGCTTTGGATTCCTGTTAGACTTGAAGATAACGTCATTGCCGTTGAAAATGGGATTCTGGTTGGTAGAGAACTTCAACTATACGGACCGCAAGCTACGGCTATACGACGGTGAAAAGATTCATGTCAGGGAGGAGGATGTGTATGCGGTTTTAGGGCTTCCTCGTGGCTCGCTTCAAATATCGAACAAAAGAAAGAGGGTCGAGTCGAACATTCTTAGTCAGTGGGTTCGCCTGTTCAATGTTAGAAGCTCAACCAATATCACGGCAACTAAGGTGCTCGAGAAGATTCAGGAATGTGCAGATGGCGACGATTGGTTTAAGAGGCACTTCATTGTTCTGATGGTGACGTGCTTGTTCGAGAGCTGTCAAAACGGAATGGTGAATTCTCGTATTGTGCACTTGCTTGATGATGTATCAAAGGTTCCCGATATGAACTGGTGCTCGTATATGATCAGCTGCCTCGTGAACACAAGAAAATCATGGGGTGGTAATGACAAAAAGAATAAATATACAGGCCCGTTGATGTTTCTGACGGTTAGTACAAGTTACTTTTTTTTTGTGTTATTTATTTATTTATTTATTTTTATATATATATATATGGTATGTTACGTGATCATGAGGATTTTTTGTATGTAGTTGTTCTATGTGGATAAAGTGGTGTTGTCGATGAGAACAGTTACACGATCGTTCCCCGCATTTAAAGCATGGAGCAACGATCTATTACGGGACAGAGAGCGCGATGAGATGGAGACTGGTGCATTTGGCAAAGGATTCATTGATGTGGATGCGCGTGTCGTTGATGTTGATTGTCGTCCGGACGATAAACATGCTGATTGTGGGCCGACGATGGGTTGTGAGACTGAACACAATGTCCAGGTATGCTGGTATTCGTTTATTTAAGGTTGCCATTTCGTTTGTGGTGATATCTTTGGTGATGTGTGATCTGCTACAATTTTGATATGTGTAACCGCCGTGTGTTGCGAGACTGGTAAAAAATGATATTTCAAAATGCGTGTGTGAATAAGTGATGTTGACATATATTGTTCATTTGATGATGACATAATGTTCAATCGATGATTATATAATGTTCAACTGATGATTGCATAATGTTCATCTGTTTGGCAGTCATTTGTTGAAGAATTTGCGTCTAAAACCCGTATTCTTGCAAATACCGGTGTTGAGATATTACAGCTTGTTGAGAAGGCTCCACAAGCTCTATTTGGCAATGAAAACTTTATGAAGATGCGATCTGCCGCACAGAAATTTCTTGGTGTTTCAAGTGACGATTCGAAGCGGAAGACCAAAATTAATTCCAGCCAGCACACAAAGACGCAAGAAGGCCCATCCGGTATGGATACAAACCAAGCAGACCCTACGCAACAAGAATACGTTCATAAGGATTTCGTAAAAGATACCGCATATCAGGTCGTGGATGATGCATTCTGGAACGATCCCAAGACAATAGCGGCATTAGACGGTATATTAGATGCTGTTGCACGTCGGGACCGTTTTAGAAGGATACACTTTGAGGGTCCAAGCTATAGTTTGGGTTTGGGATTATCATCAGACGAAGACGAAGATGAACATGACGTTCGCCAGCCGGTGGAAGTGGGTAGTGGCGTTAATGCTCAGCAAGCGGATCGAGTAGTTGTTGGAGGATCATCAGGGGTAGATATACCCACAGGTAATGTCGACATACCAACATACCGACATACGTAAAATTGATTTTTGGTTGTGATTAATGTTTTTATTTATATGGATTTGTCGAAGTCTTTAATGATTAATATTTTGTCATAGACGAGAATGTTGTTGCTACGAACGTCGCCGTTGATGATGTTGATGATGTGGGTGTCGTTGGTGTACGAGGTACGTATACTACTATTAATGCACCTTATTTGTTTTTCGTTCCGTATATATATTAATGTGAATTATATCTCCTTATGTATGTTTATGTAATTTGTAATTAAAATGTAATTATAATTATATGGTTGAGTTTATTGTTATGGTTGTAGGTGATGTTGTTGCCGAGCAGACTGATGGTGTTGGGAGTGGACGTGCGAATAAGATTGACGTAACCCAAGGTATATGTGAGCATTTCATTTAATGAATTATACAGTTTGCACACTATGCTATTTTGTGGTTTAGTGTTCTCTGTCAATGCATCACGCACAATGCATCACGCACGATGATTTAGGTGTTGGTGTCGGATGCGATGAAGGATTGGCTGGCAATACGAGGCCTAAGCGGCAAACCAATGCGACTAGTGCAATCAAGTCGCCGTATAAGGAGCGGATAATTGATGTGCACACGAAACTAGATGCACACGAGAAGATGGTAGCCAACTGGGTTATGAAGAATCACCTGACCTGCGAGTAAGCTCCCTCACCTGTGTTAATAATTGTTGATAATTATGTTTTGTAATTACTCGGACATTCATTATAACAATAATCATAATTTTAAAGTATTGTGATTATTATGTATTGTTCTGAATGAGTGATTAACAACATATGAATGTTGCTATCCAGGCAAAATGACGTAATAATATTCCAGTCGTTTGAGACCGTCCCATATTCTGTCCCGATGGCGGTCGCGGCATGTTTGATTCCGAATGAACATATTTCCGAGGCGATGATAGACTTGTGGGCTTTTGTGCTTAATCACAACGAGAGATTAAAGAGTCGTGGTTCAGCGACGTGTTTTTATGCATCCACATCTCCCTGTAACGAGGTACGATGTGCAGCAACTCATGTAAATGTGCATGTAAAGGTTGTCGATTTCATATAATAATGTTTGTAACGTGTCATGTTGTGTTTGCAGCTGTTTTTAGAGGGCAAGCGGAAGAAGGACGTTACTTACAATAAGTTTGCAGAATGTATGGATGCTGAGATTTCGCGGATGTCCCGGTATCAGTTGAACCAAATGTCACTGGTGAGTTTGTCAATTGATTTTACAAATGATTTCATTTATAAGGGTGACATGACTTGTATGATAATCGTACCTTTATTGGTCATTCCAGTTTTTATTCCCTGTACACTCGAGTGCATTTTCTGGTGTATTATGCATTGCACCGGGTGCACAGAGGTACAAGGTTATAGTTTTGGACAGTGCTGGATTTTGTAAAGAAGCTGCGGTTAAGAGAAAGGTTACGGCACATGCTGAGTTGCTTGTAAGTATAATCATCTGTCTTGTGCGTGCTGTTTATGTTTATGTTTATGTTATGGTATGGATGTATGTCGACAGTTATCAACAGCTTGTGATATGTTTATGCAGAAGCAATCGTTCTCGAGATACCTAGGCGAGCGGAAAATGGGGAGGTTCTCTAAGGTAGTTGGCATGGCGATACCGGAAATCGTCAACCCTGCATGGACGGTGGGTGTCGATATGGTAGACAGTGGGGTGGTCACCATGCGTCACATGGAGACGTTCAAAGGGACTGCTACGAAAACATGGACTCCTCAAAAGAAGAAGGCGGACAAGGTGCAGATGAAACTTATGAGGAAGCGTTATTGCTACGTCGTAGCATGCGCCCCGAACAACAAGCTGAAGGATGACAACTTAGTTGCAGCCGATAGATTTCACCCTCTGTACTTGAAGAAGAAAGAGGAGCGTGCTGCTGTTGCTCCTTGCTGAGTGTTGTTGAGTGAATTGTGTGTATAAGGCTTATTGGGCGCTCTATGGACGTGTTAATATCGTTTATGACTAAGTATGCCGTGTTTGTTCATTTTTAGGACGTCGTATTGTGTTGTGTTCAGCCGACATGGTGTCTTGCGTGTTCATATGTCGTGTTTTGGGTTTTAGGCATGTTTTGGGACGATGATTGTTTTTGTGGGGTTTTGTGGCATGAACTCTGAAAATGGATCAGTTTTTGAAAATATATTGTGTTGGTCGTATTATAATGTGCAGTATACCCACAGCTATTGTGCTGTAATATACAGACTAATGTGCAACATATAAGTAATCATAACCATATATATAATTTATAGACATATGATGGGCAGTTGGATTTTTTGTTGTGCATTATTGTTTATATTAGTGTGCAACTTCGCATACACTAATATGCATTGATTTCAAGTTTTTTTGGTATGCA